ACAATATTTATTAGCAAATATCTGGAACGTTATTTAAGCTTAATCGTTTTAATTGTTAAACGGACACCTCTGACATACCTGTAATGTTAAATGACGTTGCTTGGCCATGAATACCACAAAGTCAGAGTCAGATACTACGTATATATTGCGTTTTGTTCCCACGAGAGAATGTAAGTGCGTGCTCCTCTTTCACCATGCCTCCTACTGATAGAGGACAAATCTTTGTTTTTCATTTATTTTATTATTACTTATTACTTAAGATGTCATGTGGAACATGGTGTAATGGTTGCAGCTCCTTACAAACATTGTGTAAAACAAAAAACTTGGCTATTAAAAATAGTGGCGGAGAGTTCATTGCCAGTTCTTCTCTTCCGTTCTACGTCCTTGATTTGAGAACTGGCAGTAAATGTAAAATTAGAAGCATTTCATATATTTATTTGATCATCGGTATTCCTACAGCTACTTATTAAGCAATATTCAAACAATTACACTGTACACAATAGCCAAAACGGAATACACATTTAAACATACACAAAGCACAATTTAACCTATACAAATACAAAAAATATACAAAGAATATATGTATTTAGATACCCCACAGTCAAACTCCACCTAGAAACAAAAACCCTCTCGGTAAGGAAGCTTTACATCTTGGCGACCTGTTAAAGATATCATAGATTCCATGGGCTCACAATTCAGGACACATCTAAGAACAGACGTTTTGCATTCCCAACGCCAAAACGAAGGACTGTGTTTGGACAACGCTCCTTTGCATTTAGGGGCCCCTTCCTTTATAACAAAATTTCCAAATCTATGGATTCTGAGATCGTAAAACTATCCAGATATAAATTAGCAAGTCACATAGAAACTACACTAGCCAAATTGGATTTCGAATCTACAGAGGCATTACTACATATCTTGGTATGACTTTGAGATTTCATAAACTAACACAGACACAGTGCACGATCATAACAACTTTCAGCTACATTCTCAAATACATGCGCATACTCACCTATTCACACACTCACTCATTCACTTCATTTGTAACACTAAATTTATAACTATTATTAGTATTTTTTCCTTTTTATTATCATCTATTTTTTAAACTAATTTTAACATGTACCACGAAATAATTGTTTTCTAGTTACCCACAACACAGGGCCTCCCTAGTGTGGGGACTAGCGATTTATGATTTCTGTCACAAACTCTTCTGTCATTAATAAAGTTTTTTTATTATTATTATATTATTATTAATAATAAATTCTAAGTTCTAAGACCTAAGATTCATTGCTCATCACAATATATATTTAATACAAAGGAAGAATTTTTAAATTATTTAAGTTTTTTAAAATTATTTTTTAAACATTTTTAGTAACATTAAATATATCAAGAAAAGAGCGTACCAATCAAGAAAAGAGCGTACCAATTTTTAAAAGGCCGGCAACGCACTCAAGGAGCCCTCTGGCATTGAGAGTGTCCATCCTTTTTGTAGTCCCATACCTTTAATTAAGAGTGTATACGGAACAAACGTGTCCATACTTAGACGTCATGGGTGGCTGTATCACTATCAACTCTTTAACATCAGGTGAGCCTCCTGCCCCGTTGCTGCCCCCCGTTCTATAAAAAAAAAAAAAAAAAAATCTATTTGCTGGTAATTTGTGTTATAATCTGAAGGTATACGATACATGACTGAGTTACGTAAATAGTTTGTATTAGACCGAGGAATTTTAAATAGTTGGGTTTGCCTTGCATTGTGTGAAGAACGGGCTATATTTATTTTTTGACGTACATTGTGTTACCTATATGAATAAATGATTTTGACTTTGACTATACCGACCTTTTAATCAGATCTGCAGATCGGCTTACCTGATGTTAAGTGATACAGCCACCCATGACGTCTAAGTATGGACACGTTTGTTCCGTATACACTCTTAATTACTACAAAGAGGAATAAAAAACGTATAGTGTGTTCCGTGCTTTATACGGCGCCGGGCGTTATAAATATAGAGTGAAATATTATGATTTTCATATTGTCTATGAAAAATTTAAAGTCACTAATGCGATAAAGATGTTAGAATTTCTATTCCGCCTTTGATTATTAAATATTGTAGCTTACAAATCACTGCGATGACGTCACACCTTAAAACGCGCTAACGAAGTTATTCCCGTTCTTCTTCTTCTTCTTATAGTGCCATCTCATTGCGAAGGTTGGCGGTTATCGTGGCATTGAATTTTGGATGCCGGACTTCTAAACAATGACTTGGTGCTTTGACCAAACATTTGTCTTAAGTTTTTCAACCAAGACGTGCGTCTGCGGCCAGGTCTCCTTTCTGCCACTTTGCCTTGTATAATTGGTTGAAAGAGCTCGTATTTTTTGAAGTTACGTAAAACATGTCCGAAATATTAAATTTCCTTTTCTTAACCATCATAAGCACTTTCTTTGTTCTTCTGCATTCTCTCCAGCACGGTTGTATTTCGTATTCGGTCTGTCCAATATATTTTAAGCATACGTCGATAAATCCAGATCTCAAACGCTTCCAGTTTTTTGGACATAGTCTCTGTCAGCGTCCAAGATTCTACGCCGTAGAGCAGCGCAGAGAAGACGTAACATCGCGCAATGCGAGTTCTAAGCTGTAAAGCTTATTCCGGTACCTTAGCCACTGGGGTTCAATGTCTTTGGACCGGCGTGGACCTTTACTTCGCACACTCCAGTCATCAGTGAGCTTCTGTCCTGCCCTTCAAGTGATTGACCACCCTGCGACGGCTCAAGCCGAGGTCCGAGTCTCGCAGGAGACGCCCTTGCGCGCGCTTGAAAGATTCCTAGTTAGATTACTCTAAACAAAAAAAATTGCCACTGGGGCCTTGAAGGAACACTAAAACATCCTTCCTCCACAGCGTCTTATACCAAGTTTTGTACTCGGAATCGAAGCTAGGTTTCGACGATAACTTTCTTTTATGTTATATGGGGCAAACGGGCGCTATTTGTGATACTGCCCATAGACATATTGCCAGAGTGCTTGCAAGTGCGTTGCCGTCCTTTTAATCCACTACCAACGAGTTATAGCTAGAATTTGTGACATTCATTATAACTCAGCTTTTCATACATTTTCAAAGCGTATGATGATATAATTGGCCTGAATTGGCTAATTTTCATAATTATTCACTCAAAATTTCTGTATCAATTTTAATGGGTCCATTTAGTAGCTCTAACGAAGACTTTATAAATATATTTAAAAAATAATCTATTAATTAAGCTGAGCAGTGTTGGCACTTGGCCTAGTGGCTTCAGCGTGCGACTTCCATCCATGAGCTCGTATGTTCGATCCCCGGCTGTGCACCAATGGACTTTCTATGTGCGCATTTAACATGCGCTCGAACGGTGAAGGAAAACATCGTGAGGAAAACGGTTTGCCTTAGACCCAAAACGTCGACGGCCTGTGTCACAGGATGCTGATCACCTATTTGACTAATAGACTGACAATATAACTATATATTATAGGTACTATACATTAAATACAATAACAACATAAACTTGATGTCATCCTTATTATAGTATATTTTTATATTTTTTATTCAAGTAGCACGATCTTGATATGGGTCATCCGTTTTTACTATTTCAAATTACGATTTAAAACTGGGAATGCACGTATGTTAGAAGTTAGTTTAAATTTATACTGCCTGCACAATATCGAACGAAGCACTGTATACAAATGGAAACTTATACTATTGTTTATCGCTTGATAAATTGAAGGAAATTGGTTTATGTTGAATTGAAAACATTACTTGGAGCTATAGGCTTTCTGTGTCAGAATTCTATGTACATTCGTTGGAAGAATTCAGCGAAATATAATTCAGCGAAAGTTTCAACTACAACTAATACAAGAAATATTTTAAGTAACAAGTGACACAAATGATTATTTATATATTAAAATTTACCACATCATATAGACTGCATATTTACGGTATATGTTACAAGCTATCTATTAAAATAAAACACATAACAATTCTCTAATTTCGCTTGGGAGTTTGTTGTAAAAACGAATACAATTTCTGTATAAGCAGTGGTTTATCTATTGGAGCCTGGTTGGCAGCTTAGATTAGTTCTGTTTCGAGTATTATACTGGTGAAAGTTACCATTTGTTTTAAAATCCTTTATATTATGTCGTTGATATTCTATCTCTTTCCTAAGTACTTTGCAAGAACCCTTCCGCAAGTGAAGGCTATCTCCAAGGATTTCCAGGTATCTCGGTCTTGGGTGAGTTACAACCAGCTCGAGCCAAGCATTTTAGTAATGTCATCCGCCCATCTCGTGAGCGGTCTTCATTTCCCAATAGTGTCTGTTCTGTTTCGTTTCCGGTGGGGAGGCCACCAGGTCGCCCTTATGGTCCATCAATCGTCAGACAGTCTTGCTGCATGCCCTGCCCATCTCCATTTCCACTTAGTGTGATAGCTAAAATCATATTTTTGACTGAGTTTAGTTATTATAATATTAAATTGATCTGATATTATCGTCATTCACGTGCACTTTTTCTTTTTCATGTGTCCTTTCTATATTATTGACCCTTTCACTGTTTACATATGTAGATTGTTCCATTGTTTCCATTAGTTTTGTCTTTGTCTTATGTAGTTTTGCACTTCTTGCGCTCACCTTATCTAATTTTTTTCCGCACAGGTAACCTGGAAGAGATCTCTCGAAAGCAATAAGGCCGCCGGTTGCCCTCATATTTTTTAAATTATTTTAATTGTAATGTATTTGTGCTGTATTGCAGGTAACGGTGAATTTCCCTCGTACCCAAAAAGGTTCATATAATAATATTAAAGTGAACAGGACTGAAAATCTTGTCTTGTATTGTTGAAACATATTTTGTAGTTGGACTTTAGTTAATGAGATGAGTTGTTAAAACATGTAAAACAAATAATAATATTATTTAAAAAAATTCAGTAAATGTTTTTTATTTTCAGTAGATGTCGCCTGAGGTAGTCATAATGTGCGGTGGGTGATGGCGCGTCGCAGGCGCAGGTTGGCCTCGCGCGTGCGTGGCTACGTACGCGGCTTCCTCGCCTTCCTCTTCAGCAATGTTGGCGTTGTTGTTCTAGTCATCGCCTATACTATAGCTGGTAAGTTCATACAAATACGTTTGGTACTAAATACTATTTTTAATTGCGTTTAAAGAAAATTTTTACAACTAGAATTAATCATTTCTATAGACTATTGTGTTCGAAATTATTTATTAATATTATAAAGCAATTGCCCATCTAGCGAACTGTGGAATCGACTCCCGGTGGGGGTCCTTCCCTAAAAGATACGACCTCCCAACTGTTGTTGTTTCGACTATGTATTTGCGTGTTGTTCCCACTAGAATGTACGTGCGTGCTCCTATTTCACCATGCCTCCTGCTGATAGAGGACAATTCTTTGACAAATTATATATATTTTTACTTAAGATTTTATGTAGAACCTGGTGTAATGGTTGCAGCTCCTTACAAACGTTGTGTAAAACAAAAAACTTGGCGATTTAAAAGAGTGGCGGAGAGTTTATTGCCAGTTCTTCTCTTTACGCCCTTGATTTGAGAACTGGCAGTTAATGTAAAATTAGAAGCGTTTAATGTGTATTTCTTTTTTGACGTTCATAAGTGTACATTGTGTTACCTACATGAATAAATGATTTTTGACTTTTGACTTTTCATAGTAAGAATGTTACTTCCTCAAAGGCAAACTTGAATATTGTATCGTATTGGGTTAGTACTGTAAGGATAGTGTTTGTATTTTTTATGAATTAATAAATGTATAATCTATTTATTTATATGTTTATTGATTTAAATATAAAAGCTATAGGCTGCTTGTGAATTATTCCTGTCCTCGCAATGAATATAATATGTTTATGCTATGATAGACACCGGTATAACGATACGAAAATCGACGATTGCCAGGCATCATTTTACTTGTCTACTAATTACGGGGCTAATAATATTTATCTATAAAATAATTACGAACAAACCCTCTATTGAGATAAACATTGGCTGGAAATTTGATCGCCTAAAGGCATTTGTTGAACCTTATTAATAGATTTAAAGCTATTAACAATGGAAATCCTTTCTCAATACTCAATAAGGTGTCGACACTTTAAAACAAAGAGCAGACTCTATTGTCTTTGGGTTTATTATTTATTAATGAAACTCAATAATGGTAGGTTAATTATTATAAATTGAAACTCAAACTAATTCAAATCTAAACAAGTAATTTAGATCTGGAACGAACCTTTTTAACCGTTCCAGAAGATCAACTTTACATCACAGGTTACGATTCGATTTGAAATCCCTTCATTATTGTGCCGGTTGAGTAATGTAATGCAGCATTTGTTGATTTGCTTCACTCAATTCGTGAGGTACCCACCTTTCAAGTTTTTTCACCTTTCCAATCACTAACTAACAGTCCACGGAACTTTCCAGAACGAAAACGTTGGAACCAAAAACGCACTGTGTTTTCTTTTGCGACCCCGCCGCCATACACATCATTAATACTTCGAGCCGTTTCTGCACTGGTGCCATGGTGGAACTCGTACTCGTAAATAACGCGAAATTTCATGTTTTCCATATTATTAATGGTTACCCAAAGAAAAAAAATGAAATGAATCATGGTTTTTTGAAAAACAAATGCACGAATAAATAGGTGTAAAAATTGAATTTGGAATTCCTAATCAGAGGAGGTATTTGAAGTCAAAGTGGCCAGTACGACAAAACGTCAATTTTATATGTAAGGACCCAATATAATACAATCTTCAGTAACAATATTACACTTACAATGATAAGAAATATATATTTAGGTACTTTTCTTTGTACATTGATGAATTTATTTAATAACACACAAATATAAACGATGTAAGTACGTGGTAGTATATGGTATTAAATAAATACGTCTATTGTACGAATGGTAAACTGTGTGTGCGTGTGTGTGTATGTGTGTAATACTATAGTACTTCACACACACACTTTTACATATAACAGCAACCATTACCTTCCATCTTTGTGGAATTCAAGTTTTGCAGCTATTGGTACAATTGCTGCACATATGTTTAGGTAGTACAAAAAGGTTTAAGGATAGTTTAAAAATATAATAAATAGACGAATTAACGATATGATAAATATTAAATGTTCTGAACGTGTATTTTAAAATTGTTACTGAATTAGTTTTCATTAGCGTAATGGAATATTTAACTTTGGTCGGCTTTTGTTAGATTAATTGGTTTAACGTGGGGACTGCGGTGAACGGAAATTAAAATAAATCTAATATGAAATTGGTTCAGCTATAGGTATTAATTAAAGTATATATTTGACTAGGTAGACTTGATACTATACTATACTCTCTGGGGAAGACAGAAGGAAGTTCCACATGCCCATGTCTCTCTTTATAAGAAACCACGATCTTAATCATGCAGTCTGACACATTATGTCAACAACGAAATAGTGAAAGAGTTTATATGCAAAGATAGAACTCGGTTAGCCCGTCTCTCAACACTCGTAGCTGATGAACAGATTTTGAAACTAATACAAATGTCATAAAATACTTCTAATATAATTATAATTATAACATTCTCGTGTCGCGGTGTTTGTGGTTAAACTCCTCCGAAACGGCTTGACCGATTCTCATGAAATTTTGTGTGCATATTGGGTATAACTGAGAATCGGACAACATCTATTTTTCATCCCCCTAAATGTTAAGGGTAGTCCACCCCTAATTTTTTATTTTCTAGATAAAAAAAAATATTTTTATTTTTTTATGATACAACATTAAAAAATACATACAACCCCTAATTTTCCCTCCTCTACGATCAACCCCTATTTTTATTATAAATGATAAACATGGCAAAACGACGTTTGCCGGATTAGCTAGTAATCTATAATATTGGGCCAAAACGAAAGCCAAAATACGTTCGTGCCAGCGTGCGATAGAAAGAAGTATTCTTGGATTTAAATTACGCGACAAACGGAAAAGTGCAACAAAAAGGAAAGATGAAAGGTTTTCTGTATCTATAAAAAGAGTCAGAAAGTAGCCTATTGGAATATGTAATTGACTTTAAAGGTTAGGCCAATAATTAAATCTCTTTGGTGACTCAACTCTCTTTATAAGGCTTTCTTCTTGATTGAAATTCTGTGAAAATAATATCGATGTACTTGCTGTTTATAACATTTATAAACATATATATATATATATATGTGTTTATTTACTATAAACAATTGTGTAAGAATTGGGAACCCTTTTAATAAAAAATACCTGCCAGGGTTGTCAGATCTTCCACAACAAACTTAATAGTAAATTCTATACCTAATATTGTAATTAGTGTAGTACCCACGTAGATTAAATATTATAAAATTATTAAAACTTCATAAATTGTGGTTCAATCCATTCCCTATTTCAAGTAAAATTTTACAACTTATTGAGTACTTTCAGGTGCATTTATGTTTCAAGCAATTGAGGGTGCGAGCGAGATGGAGAGAGTTAGTAATATGACGAGGGAAAGGGACAACACTGCTCAATACTTGTGGCAAAATGTTACGTTAACGCTCAATTTGTTCAACGAAACTGCTCTCAAAGAGAGGTGAGCTTTTTGTACTGATTTTAAGGCAAAATTTAGCTCCATATAAATTATTGCGGAAGACATCAAAACAAATAAAAGAATCCACTGGCTACAACCTTGGTAGGTCTGGGCCTCAGATTTCTATATCTGTTTCATGATGATTTGTCAATCTAATAGACAAGTAGATGATCAGCCTTCTGTGACACAGGCAGTCGACTTTTTCGGTCAAAGGCAAGTCGGTTTCCTCACGATGTTTTCCTTCACTGTTCGAGCAAATGATAAATGCGCACATAGAAAGAAATTCCATTGGTGCACAGCCGGGGATCGAACCTACGACCTCAAGGATGAGAGTCGCACGCTGAAGCATAGTGGCATAGTGGCTTCAGCTTCAGCTTCATAACATCGTGAGGAAACCGACTTGCCTATTAGATTTAAAAATGATCATGAAACAGATTCAGAAATCTGAGCCCAAGACCTAAAGAGGTTGTAGCGCCACTGATTTATTTAATATTTTATGCAGTAGCTATCCGGCTACTGGATAGATAGATTGACATTTAAATAGTATTTTATATAAAGCCTGATTAAATAACTAATTATGTATTCGACCAAAGTCGTCAAATAAGTTTTATTTGTGTTTTTTAGAATAAGCATAGAACTTTTACATTATCAAAGGAAAATAGTCGTTGCGGTGCGGCGCGGATGGGATGGTGGCATATCATCGCGACAGTGGAGTTTCTCATCAGCTTTCCTTTACTCTATGACAGTAATCACCACCATAGGTACACTTTTAATTAAATTGTCATTAATATTAGTAAAAAGATCTTATTTAAATAGAAAAGGAATTGTTGTATGGTGAAACAAAATATATACATCTCTTCACGCAGTCTACTTAATACAATACATTATTAATACCTAATACAACCTTATACATTATTAATACTTAATAAAACTTAATTGATAACCGCCGCCCATGGACACCTGTGACGCCGCGGTCTAGCGGCTGTGGCTTTGGTACGCTCTTTTCTTGTAGGCCCCTGAGTCTTATTGGTTTTAAATAGAGGTATTTATGGCAGCTGGTTCCACAAAAGAGCGTAGTGAAATGTCGGGCGTCCGGCTCAGATCAGTCATGGAATTTTGCATAACCTCGACGTCCGAAGATGAATTTGTTCGTTCTTGTCATCAAGAAAAGAGCGCACCATTCCTTTAAACGCCGTCAACACCAAACCTTTATGGGCGGCTGTAAGTGCTACTTTCTAAGTGACCCACCAGCTCCTAAGGTTTTTGGCGTTGCATCTGTCCATGTGCAAGCTCGTTTGACCCATAAAAAGTGCAAAAACACCGAAAGCTTAATTCAAACATGTGTATTTCTTATATTTGACACGGCGCCAACAAAATAATTTACGCTCAACGCGTTATCTCGAACATAAATCTATTTAGAATCGCTTTAATTAATCAATCTAAATTCCTTTGTAACACAAGGATTATTGTACCACATTATTTCATGTTCGACTAGATAGGTTCGAATCCCGGCCGATAAAATACGCCATTTTGATTTATCTTTTCAATGCTTAAAGCTGTTCATGGCTCTCGTTCTGCTGTCTTGTAATATCATAATGATGATCATCTTTCACATTGTTGGAATATAAATAGATTTTTTGCCTCTTCTCTCTCAGTAGTGTATGCGCATTAAACTCTCGCTTGGAAGATGAAGAAAAACATCGTGAGGTAACCGGCCAACCCATGAACTGAGACGTAAATTAATGTCATCACACATTTATAACAATTAAAACTAAAAGCTTGTATTGTAACAATTTAAAATTAAAAACTTTTATCCATGTAACAAGCTACAAAGATTCAAGGAGCAAAGAAAGTATCAAATAGCCACTTCTTCCTTGCGTGTTTATCCTTCTGTGTAACATTATTGATTAGCTTATAAGCTCATCCAAACCACAAACGCCACTTAGAATCAAAGCCAAAAAAACAAAAGTCGCGATGTGTGAGCATGAAAGCTCACCTACTGGTCTAATAAGAAAACATACTAAACAGATATCTCTCTCTTCAGTCGGTTGCTCATGTCAGAGCGTCAGCAAGGAAACATCTGGACAATCTGTTTCCACTGGTTTCTGTCCAGCGCCAGTATTACAGTTTTGAGAACCATGAGTCTTTCACTTGATCCGTCCATCTGGTTGGTGAACGGCCACGTAATTTGCTTTCTGTATTACCAACATTCAGTTTCACCAAGTTCTCATCATCTCTGCGCATTGTATGGCCAAAATATGATATTATTCGTTGTCGGCATATAGTAAAAGGCAAGTCCGTAAGCGGAGTTAGGTCAAGATGGATGTATTGGTGGTATAAACAGATATTTTTAAGCTATTGCATAGATTTTATCGCGGGCTTTGAGCGCGGTGACCGAAGAAGAAATAAAAACCTAACACACGATGACGTATTTAGGTGCGGCCAATAAGTGGTAGAGCGGGACAGAGCACATACTGCGTCTCACATCGGTCTGGCGTGATCGGTGATGTAGCGCAGGTGCGTTAGAGTGGTACAGAACACATACTGCGTATTCCCTTCTCTTTGAGGAGATCGGTGACGTAGCGTAAGTACGGCCGGTGCAGCTGGTTCGCGTTAGAGTGAGACAGACTATTTTTTATTATAGAGTTCAGTTGTGTCTACTGATACTTGTGCATTATATCTCCTGCGTAAATGGCTAGTGTCAATATAGATAAGCTTTGGCCGACCATGGATATTATTTTTTGCAATTTCTGCAGGGTATGGCCACCTCAGTCCACGGACAAGTTGGGGAAAGATAGTAACTATATTCTATGCTCTACTGGGCATGCCGCTGTTCCTGCTATATCTGAGTAATGTTGGTAAGTAATATTCACATATATCTGTTTCATTATATAAAGCTACATTTATGCCAAATTTGAAGAATAAAATTAAAGCCTAATTGCACTGTTAAAACTAAAGTACTGTCTGTTTTTATGAGAACACAAACGCTATTTGACAGAAACAGACGTAAAAGTACTTCAGTTAAAAATGCAAACTTAATTTTAGTTATTACTAGATGACCCCGCGAACTTTGTACCGCTCAACAATAAATGAATGTGCTATTACATATGAATTATGATTTATTAAATAATGAAAGTAATTCCATTGAGCGTTTTTTAAGGCAGTTTTGACCGTGAACCACCACCAGCTGTCTACTGTAGTATTTCCGAACCAACTCGACTTAGGGTCCTTCAAGAAAAGAGCATACCAAATCTTAAAAGGCCGATAACGCACTTGCCAGCCTTCTTCTTTTCTGTTCGGTATCACATAACATCAGATAAGCCTCCTATTACATAATAAAAAATACACAAATAAATGTTTAGTTACTATCAAGAAATTAACACAAAAAGAAATATCAAGAAATCCTATTTTTATTCATTACTATTTTTTTAAAATCCATCCATTATCCGAATATTGTGAATCTTGTCGATTCGAAACTTTTATTTAAATACGATCTTTAATTTAAGAAGATATTTTATCGTATCAACGCGATGAACATTAAATGTTTGACAGTTACGAAACCCATTTTGTATTGGATTTGAGTAAATTTACTAACATTTTTATAGTAATTCTACTATTCGTCGAAAAATACAATAAATTTAGAACCACGAATCGGTCCAGTCGTTCTCGAGTTATATTTAAAGTCGATCACATTATTATTTGGATAGTAAAAGCTCCAATGAAGACCTTTCACAAATAAGTCGCCAGTGACAGGCAATTAAAAATCCACTTAAGATTTAATATACAGCAAAATATTCTTAATTGAAGTGTGCTCTAATAATACATTGTATTTCATAGGTGACTTACTTGCAAACTGGTTCAAATGCATATACGCTCTGGTCTGCATGTGCAGAGGCTGTCCTGGGTTCACAAGGCGACGAGTTGTACACTTTAGATCACAGGTATAAAACCAAAAAGTTATTTAAACCAACGACGAGGTTTTTATTCACCTGCCATTCCCACGCAAACTGCACTATTAATGTAATCTTTTGTTTCTTTTATTTTTCTGCGATGAAACTAGACAGAGTACTTTAGTTAACACGCTGCAATTAAACTAATTTATTAAAGTACACCATATCACATATGAAGCATTTTCTATAGTATAATTTACAATCTATCTATTCTAAAATACATGACAATTAAGGTAAAAATATAACTTCCAAAATACTGAAATTTATTCCTGACTTTATTAGTTTTTATAAAAAGTCAGGGTTTACTGCAGATTTTTGGGTTAGTTGGTAAGGAAGGCAGAGTGTTTTCTTACTAGCCATAAATAAAAAGCCATCTCCTGGACAGGCGTGCCCTCAGTAGGCCACATCTCACTAAATATCACGGGGCCCCGCCAAACGTCTGACCAGTTCCTTCCTTTTATTGGATTTACCAAAACACAGCGAAAGCCAAAATACGTTCGTGCCAGCGTGCGATAGAAAGAAGTATTTTTGGAAGTAATTATTATGGCAAAACAGAAAGTTGCAAGCATCAGTATTGGTAGAGAGGCATAAGTGCGCGACTCTCACCCCTGAGGTCATAGGTTCGATCCTCGGCTATGTTCCAATTTCTTTCTACTTACGCAATTAACATTCTTTCGATCGGTAAAGGTAAACATCGTGATGAAACCGACTATCATTAGACCCGAAAAGTCGATGGCGTGTCTTGCACAAGAGGCTGATCATCTACTTTCCTATTCAATTGACAAATGATCATGAAAAAGATACAGAAATCTGAGGCCCAGACCTAAAAAGGTTGTAGCGCCAGTGTTTGTTTTTTTATATAAGAGAAAAGTGAAAGTATCCGCAGGAAACCCAAAATTAGAAAGTTTTCTAATTTTTGTAATAATTGGTTATTTTTAGTTTTTAGCATATCGTTGTTTTTTTCAGCTGGAACTAAGTGATGTAGAGAGTATTGAACGACCAGTAGGATGGAGGCCAGAATACTCAGAGTCGGAGATCACTCCCGAACCAATTCCTTATGTTCCTCAACATCCTAGGTGAGTTTCAATCTATAGCGACGTCATATAACAAAAATATAAGCTTTTGTACAACGAACGCCAAAAGGAAAATCTCTAAATTTACATTTACTGCCAAATTTCTAACGCCATTTATTTGTTTATTAAAATTCAACACATAAATAATTAAATGCCTACAGTAGATGTTAAAAGCCATATTTTCTAAAATATATGATAACTAGTAGACCGGCCAAGCGTTGCTGTGGCTAAGGTTTTTGTTATATTACATAGTAGTAAACTATTCAAGGGAAACGGTAGAAGAACACCAGTCATGGGGAACACCATGCTTTTTTGGTGGTTATGCCATTAAATTGTAGCTTATGTGAAACGTTGGTACTTTCAACACAGCGCCATCTGTTAGAACTGTGACTATTAAATAAGAAACAAATATTTTGCAATAAAATAATATTGCGGGTATAAATTGAGATGTATCCTATCTTTTAAGTTAGATCAAAATGCACACGGTGTGCAAATTTGATTGATATCGGTTCGGTAGTTTAGGAGTCCATAGCGGACAAACAATGTGACACGTAATTTATTTATATTAAGATTATGGTAAACATATATATTAAGATTATGATAAACATAAATGTTACAAATTATTTAATTTTTTTTAATTTTTAGCATTTTTTATTTCCTAATACAAAAATATCTAATTAACTCATGTGTTAATGAATATCTTTACAGTTAGTTAGTATCAGGAACCCTCTCTTGTAAAAGCCTCCTCCAAGGCTTGCCATCTTTTTCTATCCCGAGCTATTTGGATCCATTGAGGACCCGTGACTTTTTTGATATCATCATTCCATCGAGCGTTACTAATAATACAATAATAAGAATTACTAGCAAAACAGCAGATTAGTCTAATCAGATAGGCACTTAACAATGCTATGATAAGTACTGTTTATTCCATTATATTTCCGAAGAATTCGAGAGGTACCTGAACTCCTAGATTGGTTTTTGCAGACGGAATTTGGAAAATTGTGTTCATTGCTGAGCACCCTATAATTTCCCCTAAGTATATCATCGACAATTAACTTTATTCAATTATTATTTCAAGCCAATTCAAATATTAATTAATGCTTATTAGTGAAGTATTTCAAGAATATGGTACAAACATAAGTTCGCATATTCTGCCACAAACAATGGCGCGAAAATTTGTCTTTAAAGGAATTTTACATTTTAGATTATTAGTCATATGAATTGGTCAATTCTTATATTAATTGTATCGTTCATATCATATCACACGTTATTAAATTTCATCATACCATATATACTACAGTGTCTCACGCAAATAATCCTTTATTGAATAATACATTTATTCCAAAAGTTAATTTTTAAAAACTCTAGTCAGAAGATCTTTTAATTCTTTTGGTAAATTATTGTAAAACTTAATGGCCATACAAAAGGTATCTTTCCTAAACAGTTCCAGATTGATTTTTGGCATAGCCAATTTCTGCCCATGTCTACTTCGACAGATTTATTCCCGTTAACTTAAAAATATGTATGTTTTTGTGCATGTTGATAGTAGTCTTCCGGGGTTTAGAAATCATATTAATCATTATTACGTTTTGATTACGTTTCAGTTTGATTAAAGCTAAAATTGAACGTTAATTAAACATGCTTTAATATTTCGTTGTTTCTGCTAATTACAGTACAGGAATGTATCCAACCGGTTTCTTCGTTCTTAGTTAAATTTAAAGTATTTATCCAACTATGTTGATTAAATCTTGAGATGAAATTTGCGAAATTTAATTTACTTTGTGATGCTGGGAGTCTGTTGCATGATTAAATTTATTTCATGAAAATCGTTAGTCGTAGTTATTATAATAATCTTATACACACATAAATGTATCACAGTTATTAAATACATTTTACAATTATTTAAGTTTCATAAAAATTGTGCCAAACTTTAGCAGATGGCAAAGTTAGTGTTCCAAGCGCAACCTATTTCCCAGGCGATGGTAAATATGTAAAAAGACGTTTTAAAAAAAAGTATATTTTAAGAAATATTTTCTGTCTTTTATATTTATTTAAGATACCTTATGATATAGTTTTTACCTGTACTAAAATAATGAATATACTAGTGGTGCTTCCCTCTGGATACTCCTTGATGATCGTTTTGTAATGGGCAAGTAATTGATCAGCCTTCTGTGCCTGACACACGACATTGTAGGCCCAAGGAATGCTAGTTTCCTCACAATATCGTTAAAGCACGAGAGCCATCACTGTTCTCACGATAGTAATGAAATATTAACAATTTTCTTGTTCATAGACCAGATCCAAGAAGAGATTACTTCCGAAGCATATCTCTCCCTCAACCATCACGAAACCCCCGTCCAGACCCAATCAGGGGTTGGTCTGAACCCCTTCCTCGTCCAGGGAGTGTCTCCAGCGACTTCACCTACGTCACCTTCGACGTGCAGACCATAACTGTACCGATAAGTGCCTGTGTTGCATTCATGGTTGGGTAAGTTCAAGGAAAAATAAATTGTGCGTGTACTAGGTGTACACACGTAAGAAGTGAAACTTCTTTATGATCTTATTTTTCGAAAAATGATCTACTATGGGCAACTTTACAGAAATTCGATAAATTAGATAAAGTTTAACAAAAGGCTTTTATTATCATAGACATGAATACAAATATTTCATTTTACCTTATTACTACGAAGATTATTATAGAATTTCATTAATTGTTATAGAATTATTACTATCATTGAAAAACGTGACGATTTGCTACAAAATTTCTCCCATACGTCGATAAAGAAGTTTCATTCCAACGCCGATAAAGAAGTTTGACTTCAAAAAGCAACATGGCGCGTAACCGAAAATGTGACACGTAACGAAAAAATGTTACACTAAATTTTTTTCCAACCTCGATAAAGAAGTTTCACTTCAATAAAGTACTTTTTTAGTTTTTCGTAATAACCGTTTTGTTTTTCAGGTATTTAATTTTCGGATCAATGTTGTTTGGGATGTGGGAGAAATGGGATAAACTGGACGGAGCATATTTCTGCTTTATATCACTTAGCAGGTACATACAATTTTTTTATAGAAAAGGGAACTGGCATGAGGCTCATGACTCATCTGATGTTAAGTGATACCACCTCCCATTTACACTGTCAAAGACAGAGGGCTTGCGCGTTGCCGACCTTTGAAGAATTGGCACGCTGTTTTCTTGAAGGACCGAATTACAGCGGTTTGGAAATACTTCAGCGGGTAGCTGGTTCTACACAGTAGCGGTGTGGTAGATATATTAAAAATGAGTACTAAATACTAATGTTATATTTAAGTGCTTAACAATTTTAGTATATTTTCTGTATTAAAAACCTTATTCCAATATTGATGTTATAGTTAACGTCAGCGACTGTCATCCCTAAGATCGCATTTTCAAATAACTAATATTTTCCTTCTATATGTGCAAAATCCAAAAATCGCCTATAAAGTTGATAAAAGTTGAAACTGATAAAGGCATTTTCCAGAAAATAATGACCATTTATATTTATTACCAAGGGTTGTATCGGCACTTTTTTTGCTGAAGTGACCATTTCCATTCATTGCCGCTGGCCAAAACGCCAACCCGCTGGTGTGACCATTTCCCGATTTTCACGGGTCTCCCCATAACAGCAGCGCTAAGGGAAACTATAGACCGAACAAATTGGAGAGATATCACTAGCAGAGCAGCACGCAGTGACGTGAACTTCAGCAAAGAAGAATACGACTGAGGAGATCGTGATGGTATTTTCCAATTACAGCATTGGATTTGGTGACTTCGTCCCAGGAGAGCGAGTGTACACTCCGCGCATAGAGACTTCCTTCATTGTCTGCTCTCTCTATCTCATGCTGGGCATGGCATTGGTGGCCATGTGTTTTAATTTAATGCAAGTAAGTGAAAATATGGAAAACTTCAACGGTTAACGGGTCAGAGAACATTCTCTTTCATTATCATGCAATATATAATTATTGTTTCGCAGCGAATCGAATCCAAAACTTCCAGTATATAATATACCTATTTATTTATTTATATTATCATGCATTTTTCCACTTGCCACGGTGGAGGACATAAAAATTTTACCCTCATGCGCCTAAAGAAGTTTCATTCAATAATTGTATGAAATATGTTACAGCACTGGTTATTCGCAGAACTAAGATACACATATTTCTACAAAATCTTCCTAAGAACTAAATTAGTCCAATCAAACTCATTTATCTAAAGTTTTTTTGTCTCACATTGCATCTCTTACTGTCAAACTGCCTTTAAGCTGAAATGAAGTGATTAGACTCATTTATTTTTTATTAGTAAAAGCATTAATGTTTATATCATAAACAAAACTAATTTCACATTTTATTTTTCAGGAACAAGTACTACACTACTACGCATGTCTTAAGCGCGTCATTAAGAGAATTTGTCGATGCAAAAGATGACATTAATAAAACTATAAAACGAATCTTGTTTCATTGTAAAAACTTACTCGCGTCTTTATGAGATCCTTAGAGATTTTTAGATTTTTTATTGAATGTGTAATAATTACTTAACTTTACTTAACTTTAATAGTAATTTAAATAGAAGAGTCTTTCCTTCAACTTTGATTTTGTTCCCTTTAGTAGACTTTTGTGCCTTGGGGTTCAAGTTCACAGGCTCAATTAAAGATTTCAGTTGGCGCCTAGTAGATAGTACCGGTGACCCTCTTGCTGGTGCTTTCCGCATCGTAGAAGAATCGCAATCCTGCGAGGACAGCATTGAGGAATGCCAGCAACCTTTTTGAAGGAAGATATAAATGGATTCTGGAGGTCTAATTATTATTATGTAGATTAAGAATAATTAAAAATTAATAATAAGGCTTTGATCATCCACATCTTATTGATACATATTATACAAAAATAAATATACATAGAATTTTACTCCGCCCGAGAGAAGGCTACCTCCAACTTTTTCCACCCTATTTTATTTTTTGCCATCTTCATCCAATTTTTTTTCAGCTATCCTTTCGATCCCGTCGGCCCATCGCTCTATTGGTGTGCCCTTGTTCCTTTCCCTTTTGGACCAGTCCATTCGGTTACGGTTTTAGACATCAGACTTCTCATTCTTATTTTTATTATTATTTTTTTATTATTATACATACAGGTTGGATGTTGTTCTTTCAATATCCATCGCGCTAATGTCGCTACCTACTGATTGCGCGGAACAAAAACTCACTATGATGCTGTCAGTACCAGAAAAAAAAATATTACACATAATAATGTATAGTTAAAATAGAATATGCACTAGCCCCCACTTCCTGCCATAAACAATAGAATATCTAGTTAGATTCCGAGAAATTTACGGAAAACTATAACCTTCACCTAAATACATTATACTCAAATATTTCCAGATTTAAAAAAAAAAAAATAACCGCAAAAGTGTGTTACCTATACTCCATTGGTATATGGGTCCTAAACAACAATTCAGTTGTATACGTTGTGGTGTTTTGGTGTTACCAAAAAAGGGGGGTCCACCCCCTTTACCCAAAAAAAACTTTTCCCTTTTTGGTTTTTTTTTTTTTTTTTTTTTTCCTCCCCCCCCTTTTTTTTTTTTTTTTTTTTGGTGGGTACGCTTCGTTTATAATCAAGGTTATAAGAAAAATAAACTCAACAAAATAAATAAGGAAATAAACACAACATTACTCAATACATCCGTTTCGCTTTGTCTTCCGGGCGGTTAGAACGTGGCTCACAGATAAGATTGTACGTGCAACAACAGAGACGGACTCAGTGAGCTATTGGTAGGGGCCTCAATATGTCAGGGGCTCTGAACTAAAATAAATTTGCGGGTAAAGACAGTAAGGTTATATTTTAATAAATAATTCATGCACCGTTATGTTGATCTTCATAGCATTTTTAATAATAAATAAGTCACCTCTATTTTTGGTATTTTACCACAAATGAATTACGCATTAAATTAAACTAAAATGATAAATATCAGGATATGTCATGTTTGCCATTTACTGAAACCATGACGTCACAATTATGAAACCTCCATCGTTTGTTTTTTTTATAATTGTGTTTTGGTGACATGCATGTAATGTATCTCATCGTCGTTCTACAACTGAGCATTATTTAGGCAGATTTTCCGTCACCGCTACCACTATGTGGAACCAGCTGCCCACTGAAGTATTTCGAAACTAATTCGATTTAGGGTCCGTATCAATTCTTAAAGGTCAGTAACGCCTTCTGGGATTGAGAGTGTCCATAGGCGGCGGTATCACTTAAATCAGGTTCCTGCCCGTTTTCTTGCTTTGCAAAGAAAAACTTACAATGGTAAAAATTATTTTACCTGATGTTCTAAATTTAGATGGCCATAAATGACCGCTAGGTGTAAGTCCAGCCCTGTGCGCATTCATTTCTGCAGAAAATGGATGTGCTGTAGTACTCAAGGAGTAGCTAATCTCGAGAAAGAGTGTGCACTCCGCAAAAAGAGTTTGCAACCCGCAAGCCACTTACTTTCATTATGTGTTAAGGAATGCACTCAGGCCTTGTTAGGGGACGATTTCATTAGCCTTGTGATTTTAATTTAGATTAGATATAAGATGTATTATATCTAATCTATATTAATAATAATAAGATGTATTAAAAAGTTCCAGGTCTAAATACGATACTTCAGTATTTTACTCAAAATATGCAATAATAACCCAGTTCGCGGCCAGGTTTAATAACGTATGTAGAAAGAAATATACATTGGCCCAGGTGATTTTATGGGACTGGAGGCAAATGAGCGTAAAGAGAATGGTACTCTCTTTTCTTGAAGTCGTATCGGCAGCCGGTTCCACAAAGAGGTGGTGCACCGAGACTCCTGTATTGTTAAAAATGCACTACTTAATCTATAAAATAATGTTGTTATAGCAAATTAAAAATCTGTTCTCTACTTCAGCAAAGAAATAATGTCGTCGCTGAATTACGATGATTGCTTGATAGGTTGTTTATTATTGGTTGAACACCCCAGTTCTGTGTTCCCGGTACGGCGACATCTTATATAATACTAGCGGATCCGACAGTCGATGTCCTGTACACACGTCTTACATAAAACAAATATCTAATGTAAATCATTCTCGACTCCTTTTGAAGACACAAAAAAATTCATTCAAATCCAGCCAGCCGTTTAAGAGGAGTTCTGTGTCATACACACGTACGGTAGAATTATATAATCTTAATATATATATTTCTTCTGTGCGTGTGTATGTGACTGAACTCCTCCTAAAACCACCCTGTATGTCACACACCCCCCCCCAACCTCGACGGCCGGCCGACCGACATTTTGATGAAATTTTTGTGTGTGTCAAGGGATCTGGGAATGGTTTAGATTCACAAATCACCCGGCAGATGGCACTGCAGTCGGTACTTTCATACTTTGCTTAATATCCTAATCGCTTTAAATATCATGCAGGACAACGTCTGTGGGGTCCACTAGTATTTATATATAAATATAGATATGTTACTAGCGCTTGCTTTAACTCCATAACTAAAATACCAATTTAAATTAAAAAATATGATTTTTATAAATTTGTGAGGAAAGCACACCTATCTATCTACTAGGCGCCAACTTAAATCTTTAATTAGCGTCTGTGCACTTGAACCCACGGCCCAAGAGTCTCTTAGCAGAGCAGCTTTATAATAGTCTTTTCCAGTTAAGCGCAAATTTTCATACCTATATTTGGAATAGAATGTTACAATACTTTGTAAAGTCTTCTCAACAAGCCTTTACTTTTTGAAGTGAAATTTCTTTAGGCGCATGAGGGTAAAAATTTTACGGAACGTCACGAAGACATGCAGCGTTTTTGTCGAAGAAAAGTGAGAGTTCGATTGAGACCGATTTAGAGAATGAGAAGGGTGAATTACCTTATGGAAATTATATTTTTAAAATTAAAATTTCGTAAAAAGAATTTATGAAATATTAGTATTTTATATGTTATGCAAAATAGTTTATTGAAATTTCAAATGACAAATTTTAAATTAAAATGCCACGTGTTTTTATTATCAAAGAAATAAAAATAATAATTTGTATTAATTTTCGATACTTTTAATATTTTAATGACAATTAAATTCATTACATTTCTAACATATCATCCTTTTTCCCTCCCTCTAAGTCTCGGAAATCTAAAGTTTTAGTCAAAGTTTCACTTCTAACACGTGTACTTTGTACGCACCCACTGTTTTTAATATATACAAGCCATCCGTGGGTCTGAGTAAAGGTTTCACCTATATCTTCCAACGGGAAGACTAATATGATCGTACATAAATAATAGAATAAACGTCATTCTATTGGTAACACAAGATTGGTTATTGAAGATTATTACAAGCTATAAAATCAGGATGCGGCATTTATGTAAAAAAGCCATTTTCATCCTATAAGCATTCCGCACCCAAATAATCTTTGGAAATTTATGTAGGAAAGGAATGAACCGTATTTTATATGTTATAGCTGCAATGAACAGGTGACCCTTATCTGAGTGACACATGTGTTATCACCTTATAAAGATTACCGCCATATCTCTGTAGGGTGACAATAACATAAAATCTACAAAGTTCGCTTTTCCTCTTTCAGTTTATTGAAGTCGGTTTTTGAACGTCACATATTCTGTAACACACTTGAGTGGCAAATATTAAATCTAAATAATAATAATTTAGTAATATCGTGCTATATATGTTTTTTTTTTATATACATGTGTCTTTACTAAGACATCATGGAACATTACAATCTAGCCTAACTTAAGACTAATAAGTAATTTAAGTCTAACCTAATTTATTACAAAGGATATTTAACATAAGAAAGTGTCCAATAACACTACTTACAGTCTCTATTAAAGGGAAGACACTTTGTTCTTGTGTTCTATTTTTTTCAATCACTGTTTAGCACTTAATACTAACGTGCACTAACACTAATTCACTAGTTCAAACGGTTTTGTCCTTTTCAATCTTCTCACTAGGCCCGTGGTGTCAAGGAGTTGAATAGCCTCGACATTCACGTGATGGTGGAGCCTATGTTCGTGGGCTCCGGCAGTCTTTTTTATTACTGTGGCGACGTCCTCTACATTAAGGTCCCGATGGAGGTCGTTATTGCGAATATACCAGGGAGCATTGACTATTCCCCTGAGCACTTTGTTTTGGAATCGTTGGATTACTTGGATGTTACTATTACTGGTACAGCCCCACAGCTGGCAACCATAAGTCCATACAGGTGTCAGGACTTGTTTGTAAATCAATAATTTATTTTGAACTGATAGCGCGGAATGCCTTCCGAGCAACCAGTACAATTTAGTGTAACGGAGATCCAACTCTTCACGCTTCTTTTTAACATGGACCTTCCATCGGAGTTTGGTATCCAGCGTCATACCTAGGTACTTAGCTGAATTTTGGAACGGCACTTTGACGTTATCAATATGTACTGGCTG